GACACTGGCACGTGGGGTCCTGATCGCTACGTACCCCGCCTCTGGCCAACACACAGCGAACCTAAGTTTTTCCGTTGTGCCTCCGCGGAATGGAAAACAGGAATCGAAAAAGCCCATGTCTGCCCTGCACACGTTGTAGGCATCTTGATGTCTGTTCCTCCTGATGCCTGCCTTTCTGCTGCTCCTGTGTCTTTACGTTGGATGCTCGCTTTCCAGGTCGCCTGCGTACTTTCCGTGACGGTCGCGTGTTCTGGACTTGCCCGGTCAATACCTTAAGGTCTTAGGTACCTTACCAAGGGCAGATACAGTGCACCCGCGCTACCACATGCACCCGCATCGAGGGGGACTCAGCGCATTCGGGGTCCCTGTGGAGGATTTTGTGGAGGTTTCTGTGGGGGAAGACGCTTGGGGTGGACTGGACGGCCCCACTGTTGTATCTTGCATTGCACCGGATTCACATTTCATCCACCGACCCACCCACCCACCAAACCCTCTGGCGGTCACAGTCCCCGTCTGGGGGCCCCTGCAGGTGTCATCACCACACCCATCGTCGCTGTCCTTCCTTGGCCTTCGCTCTCCACCAACATTTCTGTCTCTCGCTGACGATATTCTTCGAGCCATTCTCCATCTTCTCCTCCTCTGGCCCTCCGCCGCTGAACAGAAGTACTACAGTATTTACAGAATTGACGACCTACGCAAAATCTTTCTCCCTTCGAACCTCTGTCTTTCTCTCTCTCTCACACACACATCTCTCGTTGTTCCCTCGTACCGCCGTCTCTCGTCCGCCGCACTGCGAATCCCGTCCGTCGAGTCCGTCGCTTCATCTCGTCCCCTCTGCTCCAACCGCCTCCGCTCCTCTGCCAACCATCGTCCGCCTTTTGCGCCCGCCTGTTCTTCCTTTCCCCTTCTCGGCCGACGCTCCCTCCCTCATAGGGCAGGCTGATTTGCTCCGCAGTCCCGCCCCAACCTTCGCTCCAAGTACACCCCGTCGTACTCTGTACCCGTTTGTCCGGTCATCTGCTCCCCAGAGATCTGCGTCCTTCCCATGTCTAGTCTGTCCTGACATGATCTGACTGTCCCTTCGACTCGACACGCCAAAACACTCTCTTGTTCGCTACCTACTTCCTAGCACTGCATCACCGACACGTCTTGGACGCCCTGACGACACCTCCTACCCGTCTGTCCTTCTTTACGCCAACCGCACCGCAGACCGACCCCATCTATTTGCGTCCCCTCCTCCACCGTCGGCTCTTCTTCCGTCTCCCCCAACTCCAAGGCACACCAAGCCGCACGCCGTCGCGACAATACACCGACGCGGGCATACTCTGACCGCCCCGCTCCAAACAACCGCCCCAAAGCACATGTCAGAAGCCCGCTGCACCGATACGCTGCCAGGCTGTGATGCGATACGGACGGCAACAGGGCTGCCTTTCGTCCGTCAGCTTTTGTCTTTCTCGAAGCTCTTTCTAGCCCAACCGAATCCCTCTCCTCTCGTCGTCTTGCTTTCCCCGTTACCATGAACGACGTTCTCATCAACCCCGTGCACCCTCTCCCGGCCATAAGGGTCAAATCCTCATCATCAGGCCCTACAGCCTCGCTCAAAACCGGCAGGTCCTCGTCGATTAAGAAACAGCCGCAATCGCCGCCCCGAAATGCCGCCATCGATTCCATATCCCGCGCCATCAGAGGCGCCAACAACCTTGTTCTGTCCTTGCGGGATGGTCTGTCCGAGCTCGAGAGGGAGAACAAGAGGAAACAGGAAGAGAGGAAGCAGATATTGTCTCTCCGCATGAAGAATGCAAGTACTGCCGACGCGACCACTGCGGAAACACCAAGAGGCCCTGCCCCTACTAACCCTCTTGTCTAGGCCGAATCTCGCAAAGAATGGCAGGAAGCCGCCGAGGAACTTGATATACTCGAAGAGAACGACGTGTGGAAGGTGGACCCCTACGATGGCGACTACTACCCCGAGTTGATCGAGGCACGACTGAAAGAGCTCGACGATGCCCGAACAAATTGCGATACACGAGCCATGATGCACCTCGTTCGCACAGCATTGTGCAGAGACCTCGGTGGCATGGGGAATGTTGATCTATACAGACACTCCTACGTCGGCACCAAGAATCTCATCGAGCGCTATGTCGACTCGGCCATCCAGACCATTGACGCTCTCGTTGAAAAGAGCCAATACGCATTACCCGAGGGCATGGGCCAGAGAGACATCTTGGAGAGCGTCCTGTTCGCTCGCCAAAGCTTTGGCCGAAGCGCGTTGCTGTTGAGCGGCGGAGGAACCCTGGGTATGTCCCATATAGGTGTTTTAAAGGCGCTCTTCGAGGTCAAGCTGCTGCCGCGCATCATATCGGGTGCCTCAGCTGGCTCCATCGTGTCTGCCGTCATCTGCACCCGAACCGACGAGGAGATTCCTCGTCTTGTTAGGGAATTCCCGTACGGTGACCTCGCCGTCTTCGATGCCGAGGAGAACCCTGATGGAGTCTTTGACCATATGCGACGATTGCTCACCGAGGGGAGTTGGTCCGACATCAAGCACTTGACTCGTGTGATGCGCGGTTTGGTGGGAGACCTCACGTTCCAAGAAGCTTACAACCGCACACGGCGAGTCCTCAATATTTGCGTATCCACCGAGTCCATGTACGAACTACCTCGCTTACTCAACTACATCACCGCTCCCAACGTCATGATTTGGTCGGCGGTGGCCGCTTCTTGCTCGGTGCCATTGGTCTTCAGCGCGGCTCCGTTGCTAGTCAAGAATCCTGATACCGGCGAGCATATGCCCTGGAATCCGACGCCACAGAGATGGATTGATGGCTCCGTCGACAACGATCTACCCATGACGAGGCTTGCGGAAATGTTCAATGTGAATCATTTCATCGTCTCGCAAGTCAACCCGCATGTCGTGCCCTTCTTGGCGCGTGATGACCAACTCGACCCTGATGATACCTCAGCGCGTAGAACCAGTCTCTCGCCCAGCAAACAGGAGCTTGATTGGGTATACACTCTGACGGCTCTGGCCAAGGATGAAGCCTTGCATCGCCTGCACTTTCTGGCCGAGATTGGCGTCTTTCCAACACTAGTCACGAAGCTTAAGAGTATTCTCAGCCAGAAATATTCTGGCGACATCAACATTCTACCAGAGATCAGTATCCACGACATACCAAAGATCCTTAGCAACCCAAGCCCCGATTTCATGTTACGGGCTTGCTTGATGGGCGAACGCGCAACGTGGCCGAAACTAAGTCGGATTCGTGACCGCTGCGCCATCGAACTCGCACTGGATCGAGCTGTTCATCGTCTACGCGCTCGTGTTGTGTTCTCTGACAGCCAAGTCGACTTGCGTCGACTCACCACTGGCATTGTCTTGCCGCCACCGTGGCCGAAGTCGACAGGGGGTGCGAAGATTGCACCATCCGGAACCCCAGCCCTTACTCTGGATACAGAGATCGTCAAGAACCGTCAGCGCCGATGCTCGGGCAGCAGTGTACAGCTCATGGCTCACCACCGACGCTTGATGGAGGACGTGCTCACTGATGAAGAGACAGAGGAAGAGGAGCGTCTAGAAATGCGGGCAAGACACGGTCACGGAAGCACGTCACCTGTTCTTGTTCGCAAGCCTCGTCTCAAGAGAGCAGCTAAGAGCCATTTCAATGTTTCTTTGGCACGGGGACCTCAGACTAGTCCCATAAACCCGGCTCATCTTGAGGCCGTCGAATTTGACTTTGGAAAACCCGTGACGCCTCCTTTGCACCGGTCACGACACTCGGAGGGGTCATTGGCACACAGCGCCAGCTTGGCCATGACACCAGCCAATGACATGGACCCTCTCGCTCCGGGGTCGAGAGGCGAGGCGACATCCCACACCGAGCTAGAAACATCAGACTTGCATTCCTCCGACGGGGATGTCGAGTCTCATACCGACATGTCGGACCCAGAGCCATACAGCGATAGTCACTGGCTCCGCGAAGGGTCCGGTGAAATAGACCCAGCCCTCAAGGAAGGCAAAGACTTACCCGAGATTAGCAGCCGTGAAGTCATTGCGGTGAACGATTCCGTGGGAGGGCTTTGGGATTGACTAGTAGACGGGAGGGTGAGCTCCTCGGACGAGGAAAATAAGACGGAGAAGGGAAATGAGCTTGCCAATCCAGCGGCCAATCATACGAAAGATGAAGACGATGTTTTGCGGTCCAATTGGATGAGCTGGGACTAGCCATCGTAGTCATTGAAGAGGCATTGCATGGGCGGTTGCATCATAAAGGGAGCTCGGTTTAGGCTTTGGTCTTTGAAGTCCACACATGATAACATTAGCATCGTTGGGAGTTTGGTGTAGCATCTGCGGTACACGGCATTGTAGAGGTAGGCGGCTGGAGACGTGTCAAACGAACCATCCTGTCGCATAGATGATTATTTGGAATTCAAACCACTTCAAACCGTACGTATGCGTAGTTGTCTCTACCGGCAGCCATCATTGTTCTCACAACACAACGGGTGTGTCGCAAGCGAATGTTGTGTTTTTACTTCAATCAGGAGCATCTTCATCCGACGCAGGACGATACCTGCTGTTGTGTGTCGACCATGTCTCCGGATGATCTCCATTCAGATATGTGGCGGCGGCTAAACCATGTGATCCAGATTGAAGTCCAGAAAGAGCCAGTCAATCAAGGTCCAGAACATTGACTACGACCTCTGTAGATTAAAAGCTGAAAGGCAAATTTGGTTCGTCGCTGCCGGGGTAATTTGCTGGATATATCTGCCCAATTAACCGATACCGCCTCGCCAGCTACCACCATGTTAAACGGTCTAGACTCCCTTCCTTGCTGGAAGACCGCAGCGATAGCGACCCAGATTTGGCTGCCTCCCGAGACTCTGATTCGTGCCATCATAAGCTCCGTGGATGTATAAGAGGAGCTGCCTTCCCCCCATCGACTTGCGTACATCGTAAGTTGCCTCTAGCGACACACCCGTCGACATCGAGCCTTCCAGCAACAATGCTAAAGATGATCCTACTTCCGCTACTCCTATATTTGGCAGCTGCCGCTGCCTCCGCTGCCCGAATCAGATCCCTCACGCACAGCGGCCCTGGCTGTCCCCAAGATGCCCGAGTGACATGGTCCGGCGACCTCAGCGACCTGACGATCACGCTGCCCGACTTTAGCGAGTCTCTTGCGGCTGGCCAGATGACGAGCTGCCAGGTTCACTTGCTCGTCGACCAGGGTGAGTCCGGGAAGTCGCTGGTGCTGCAGGACGTTGTCGTCCGCGGCGGGCTCTACTTGAGCCCCAACTCCAAGGTTGACTTTTACACGACGGCATACTGGAGCGAGACAGCGTCTCATACGGTAAGTCGTGTTATCATCGCATGCTGGGATAATCTCTCTCAAGATTCTGATATATCGGTTTTCAAGGTAACGAAGCAGACGAGCACGTCCTCGGGGTCCAGCGCTGTTGTTCGGAATGTAGCTATCGCTCAGCGCCTAGAGTCATCGTCGCCTTGCGTTGGTAGCGATGGTTATGTGGGCATTCTGAATGTTACTTTCCGGATCATCGCGCAGGAAGGCGGTAGAGTGGTGTTTGGTAGGGAGCGCGTTTCCTCAACGTCACCTGTGACAGAGGCGCTTTCCTTTGCCTGGCAGAGCTGCTAAGTCAAGCTAGTATGGTATTGGTTTGACAACTTGGCGGGACTTTGGAAAGGAAACAAGCAATACCATCCGCGCTTTTTCATCCTATTGAAGACCAGGTGTCGTCCTATTGGTTGCGGTTCAGTAACAGGTTCATGTAAGTCGTTGTGGCACTAGCCCTGTTTTCGATTCACGACATCGCGGCTGGAACTGTCGATGTTCTGCGACTGAAAGCTACTGTCGTGCGGGTGTCCTGCGAAAGTCATAGACTTGATGGAGGCGAAGACGTGACAACCCAGCTTGGCATGCCTTGAGAAATCTCTCGATATACTGGAATCTCCAAATGCTACACTTATCATTATGAGATCTATTTGTATTCTTATCGTCTCATTTATCATCAAATATATCGTTAATAAACCTATCATCAGCGAGACCATCTTAGACTAACCATTCCCTGTCTAAACATTCCCGAAATGAGCTAGCAGTTCCCGGCCGAAAATATCCCGTCCGAACATTTCCTAGCCAAACATCTCGTAGCTCAACATTCCCTCGTCGTCGTCGTCATCGCCGCCGCTGCCGTCGTCCTCGTTGTCGCTATTACTACATGTATCTTTGTTTCTGGTGTCATCGTTGTTGCTGTTATTGTCGTTGCCGCTGCTGGTATTATTATTATGACTTCTACTTCACAGCAAATATAGCCGCGCAGGCATAGGAAAATCAGGTGGTCTCTTGATTTGGGTACCCGAAGAGCTAACCAAAAGTCAGCTGCGGCTATTTGCAGCTCACTTTGAACAAGGATAGTGCCTGGCATCACGATAGAACGTGGCTAAGAGAATTGTATCAAAGCAGTCTCTGTAGTATGCCTCACGGTGTCTACGTTACCTATGCTCGCACACGAGGCGCTTGGTACATTTGAACTACGTCTGAGACCGCATTTACCTTCCTGTCCTTTGAAGCATGGCTCAGATAGGATACGTAATCTTTCTTATTCGAAAAGTCAGTTCTTCTGACGCCACCTCGCTGAGTAACGCATCGCACGAATGTAGAGGCTGAAGACCTGGCTGTCTGATGATGAACGACATAAAAAATACAGGCTGATCACCGCAGATCATTTCTAGTCAACTGATCATCGAAACTGAGAGAACACACATGATTGGGCAAACCTGATCCAAGGTGCTTCTCAATTCAATCATCTGTCGTGAATGCATATAGTGGTTCCATTCGAAGCAAGCATCCGAAAATTCAGTTCGGCGCCGTATTTCACACCCGCCATCTCAGTTTCCACCGGGTTTCTCGAAGGAGATCACAGCGTACTGGAAGGTCCCGTTCGCGTAACCTCGCCTCATCGCGCGGAAGGATTGCAGAAAGGCGATGCCGTCGCGGCCCTGGCTAAAGGCGAAAGCCCACAGTGAGGGGTTCTGGATGAGAGACCACGTAATATCCCTGAAGCACATGTTAGCGACCACACGCCAAAGTGTAACACAGGCGGGTCTTTACCAGGTTCTTGCGACGTCTTTGCTAATGTCTTTGGGCCCATCAAGTAGATCGAGTCCGCCTTTCTTCGCCAGGTCGACATATCCCTGCTGCGTGCACATGGGTGGGAGTAGCATGCCGTCTGTGAGAATTTGGTTAGCTTGAATGGGACCAAGAGCTGTGTGTGTAGAGCACGTCCTCACCCTCAATTGGCTTGATGTCATTGTTGAAATCTGTCTCGCTCAGGTTCTCGGCCTTGAACCAGTCCGCCAACGCCAGTTTGCCGCCAGGTCTCAGAACTTTAGAAGTGTTCTCGAAGAAAAGCGCCTTGTTGGGGAAATGGCTGAGAGCCTCACTGATCCAGACGGCGTCGAACGAGCCCCCCTGCCCAGCAAAAAAGTCACCCATCTTCTCTGCGTCAAGCTCGATGAAGCGCACCTTGCCTCGACCAAGCTTGATGAAGCCATCGACGTCGGACTCCACCTCGTTCTTTTCTTGGTCTTTTGCCGCCTCAGCCTTGGTGAGTCGGTTTGCGATCTCGACTTGCTTGGTCGAGATGGTGATGCCGGTCACGGTGCACCCCAACGTCGAGGCAAGGTATCGGGAGGTGCCGCCGATTCCGCACCCGACATCCAGAACTGTGCTGTTGTCGCCTACTTTGGAGATTCTGAGGAGCAGCTGGATGAGGTTGACCTGAGCTTCCTCTTTGGTCTGAGAATTGTTCTCCCAGTAGCCGTGGTGGATGTGCTCGCCCCTGCAAACAGGCAATGTTAGATAGTGTTCAACTTGAAAGTCATGCGTTGCTTCCGAGAGTTGCTAAGGGAAGCTGCTATGCCACCCGGGTGTCGGGCTGTGGAGCGAACTTGTGTTCGGACGAGAGGATGAACTCTCCAATTGCCAGGTATTCTGCATCCCAGGCCAATACCAAGCACATCCTTCAGAATAGTTTCGCACGGAGGAAAGCGTACCAGAGGCTCAGATAATAATCACTCGCAAGATCATAGTGCAGCTTGATCCTGTCCTTCAAGGCCTGCATCGTGGAGTGAGCCAAGCCGAGCGGGGTGTCATATTGCTGGCTGAGCGGCGTGGTAGAGCTGTCTACCGCGGCGGCCATGTTGGAGACAGAGGCCGAATGGGTGTTAAATAGTAAAGGGTTTGGGTTATGTATGAGTTCAATGGCTCACTTGCGACGATGATTCAGAAATAAGTGATTCCAGCGACTGATCCAAATGACGGAGCGGATGAATAGCTGGGAGCTTCGGGAGCTTGGGTGCTGGGTGACGGGCCATTGGTCGTCCCGTGTCCCGCGGCCCGGCCTCGGTAAAGGTACTTGACTAGCCATACTACTTCGTCTCTTGAGGATGTACTCGGTTTAGGTAATTGAGGTGTGAGGACGTGACCTTACCTTACTCAACACGTTGGGTAAGGGGAGGAGCAGAGAGACGTCAGCTTTCCGTTGGGAAACTCTGGAAGCTAAAACGCCCAACTGCATGAGGCAGGTGCACGTCCCCTCGTCCGTTGCTGCGCACAGATCAAGACACTGGACTTATCTAATCATTGCTTATGTCATTGGCGTGTGCGTCAGTCAAGCCACAGCACCAGCCGCGGCACTAGCCACTTCTCAAAGCTTCGACACGCTGGGCCAAGCCTCCTAAAAATAGCCGGCAAGTTCACCCGATCCCCAAGACCCAAGCCGGCCAACGCCGCCGCCGTGGGCAGCCCCAGCCACTCAGCACAGCGTCGGCACATGTCGCATGGTGGCAGTGCAGGCCAGTGCCGGACGCCGGGGTGGGGCCGTTCATCTGCCAAACCTTTTCTTCGTAAGGCGACAGCAGCGTCAGTGCAGCGCACTCTGGTCGCCAGCAAGGAAAAAAAAAGGGGCCCGGGGAGAAACAGGGGCTGATTACGGGGGGAATGCAGCCCAGCCTCAGCCCAGCCCGTGTCCGCCGCGTAATGCTTGTTTACGTATTTTTGCGTGTGCATTGCTTTGACGATCGCTTGTTTTAAAAGTCATTCGGTCCCTCCAGAAGAACTTGCTGACGACCTGTCTTTTTTCCTGTTTGCTCTCATTCAGCACTTGGCCTGCCAACCGCTGCTACTCGGTCGCTACAACACTCGTTCTCGCGCACACACCTACACTCGCTTTCTCACCAATCCGCCGAATCATGGCGCCAGTCAACCCAACGACGGCGCGACAAACGCTTGCTCGCGCCAGTAATGTCGCTAATATGGTATGGAAAAGGGCAGCCATATTAGCTGCGCCAGAAGTCGCGCGCGCGACCCACCATGCATTGGCTCGCCGTGACTTGAGTGTCAACTCAACTCAGGGTGTCACCCTTGGTGTTATCGCAGCATACGTCGTCGCCATCGCCATTCTTTGGAACGTTCCGTATCTTCGAAATATTCTTTGGCCTTTTAAGATGCTCACGGTAGCGTTTCACGAGTTTGGCCACGCCATCACCGCGTGTTGTACCGGCGGTCGTGTTGTATCAATCACACTGGATCCTAATGAGTAGGTATCATCAAAAGCTTCATCATGAAAACATTGTTTTACTGACAAAAATATCAGAGGGGGAGCCACATTGATGAAGGGGTTCGTTTTATTTCATTTCTCATGAATTTTGCGATGCTGGCGATGTAATTTATGTTGTTGTTGCTGAAACTACGATCAACCATGACCTGAATCGACGGCGGGGCCTGAACGGACACGCTGCTTTCTTCATTCGAACGGTCCGCTGACTATTTTCATTCAGAGGTGTTCAAGCTATCACTTTGCCGGCTGGTTATCTCGGTTCCTCGCTCATCGGAGGTCTGCTCATCTTTTGCGGCTTCAACATCAACGCATCCAAGATCGCGTCCATGGTCCTCGGAGTCTGTTTCCTACTCACACTTTGGTGGGGAAAACGAGACTGGCTCACTATTCTGACGGTTCTTCTCGCTGTCGGGCTGCTTGTTGCTGCATGGTTCATTTCTCATGCTCAAGCTTTGAGATTCGTTGTTGTGGGTAGTGCCCGACCCAGACCAAACTTCCCAAAAGCTAACGCGGCAGCAGCTCTTCCTCGGAGTAATGTCCGCTCTTTACTCTGCTTGGGATATCTGTGACGACCTCATCATGCGAAAAGTAAACAGCTCGGATGCAAGCGTTTTTGCCCAGCGATACGGCGGTTCATCTCGATGCTGGGGCCTTATCTGGGTCTTCATCAGTCTCTGCTTCATGGCAATCGCCATTGTAGCCGGCATTGCTGCCTTCCCTCAGAGCTTCTCTGAACAGGAGAGCGACTCGCAGAAGTTTTTGCCCACCTAAATCGGTTCGATGCGCAAAGGTGCCATGTCACAATGAAAAGGATTAGAGGCTCATGGGGCTTCTACGAGCAAGCGATGATTTCCGCGACTCTGATCGGGTCTCAGAAATTACCGGTTCCGTCTGCAGAAGGCCTCCCACATTCCGGACTCCGAGACCTATCGCCGAGGTCCGGGCGGAGACAGATACTGACGACCCGCCAGGGCCACCGTGGACAACGAGCCACGGCCGGCGGAGACTCAAAATTACAGAGGAAGAGCAACTCAGGCTGAGAGTCGACGGCGACGGCGAGGAGGAGGAGGAGGACGACGACGACGACGGTGACGATGACGATGAAGATGACGACAACAGCGAAGACTGCTCATGACTTGGCCAATGGAAACAGCGGAGCGCTGGGAAAAGACGCAAGACTCGAGAACCAGACTATGATGAGACAAACATCAACGATGAAGCTCTTTCAGGAAACGGTTTCAATACGTATTTCAACACAGCAAAGTGGTTTGTTGTTATCCAGCGGAAATCCAGAGATTTGCTGTCCAGGATTAATAGCAGTTGTAATGCACAGTTCAGCATAACGCCATTATACAAAGGAACTGCGCACCGCAATTGACCTATTGTCATCTCTTTCACAGTTTGATGTCGCGTGATAGTTTCACATGAAACTAAATAATAGTGTGGCCAAGTGAACAATGACAGATGAAGAATCGGAGACGGAATACAAGCGACTGGAGAATTAGACACTGGAGAAGGCAACCAAGAATGGCGGACGAGACCAGTCGCTGGCTGGATTGAAACGGATCTCAACGCCACTAGGAACACTCGGCGTCGTTCGAGAAAGAGCATTGTATCTTCATGTTGACACTTGGGTGGTTGCCTGGAACACGTGTGGTAGGGAACTCGGCACCAGAAGCACAAAGAAGGGTC